TGAAAAATCTGTGAACATTTGGTGGGCTACACGATTAGCCGAGCTGATGTCATATATGCAGAAACATGGCGGATGAATGTAAATGTTCGGTTGATGGTAATAAGCTTATTGCTTCACTTACTGCATGTCATTTTTTTGCTCACATGTAAATTATAATATGGTATCAGGTTGTTTCTGACCATGTAGAGTGACCTACATTAGTTCGAAAAGTTATTTATCATCAGTAGTTTCAGGGGATGTACTGGTGCAGCAACAAATTCCTCAACCTCAAACTGTTGTCAATGTGTTTGTTAAGTGCTCTGAGCTATAAAATACAATACATCTGCTTTTAAGTGTCCATGTTGTCTCCTCAACTCATGAACACACTGAAGTCCAAAGAATGACTTTCCAGCTTGCGAAATGGGACCATTAGGAATATGGTTATAGGAATAAGTTAAATGTGTTTGCTAGCATTTGCTATTTAGCACGTATGTGAATTTGTTGCAGGCATTTGGTTCCAAACCAAAGTACTGAACAAAATGAAATTTTGATTCCAAAGAAAAAAGCCAAGTCCTGCACATACTTAGCACCTTTGCATCAATTTATTTAAAAAAGAGTCAACATTTTTAAATACATCAATGCAGAGTGAGAACTGATTTTCTTTTTCTTTGGAACTGGCTATTCAAAGGAAGTGATTCCCTGCATCACAAAGGAGACAAAGCAGAGTCTTAATCATCACATTTGCATCAGTCGACACCTTCTATGACCCAATCCTCCAGGGGGGGCCTGGGGTGAAATTCTCCCAGAGTCAAAGCAGCATTACTGACCATTTGTTTTAAAACAAAAAATCTTTCATAAGGGGTTCTCAAAGTGTGTGCCATTTTAGGGAGTCAGCATATGAGTGCTGCACAGGAAAAGTGCATACACTATGACTTAATAACTTTTTTATGACATTATTATTTATTTTTTTATGACAGTAACAGTACAATAACTATAACCACTGACAGTGATGTGACCTACATAACACTCGTATTACATCCTAGTTTTCCACTTTCTAATACAGTTTAAAGTAAGGCAATAGAGAGACAGTACAGTGTTTGACATTGATTGTACCTACCAACAGCAGTCAAGTAGCTTCTGCTGAGGTATGGAAACACCACTTACACAAATGTCATGCAGAACTGCAGTACACTGTTATACTAGAACCAGTGGTAATAATTATGGCAGATTACATTTGCTGATGGTAGTCCCAAATGACAGTTCATGGTTGCCTTTTGTACCACAGCATTTTTGTGTTGCGATCTACTCCAGTTAAAATTTTGACCAGATGATGGCAGTAGATAAACAGTCAAGGGATCACCAAAGGTTTTTGCAGTTCAGTCTGTGGGGAACATGAATGAACAAAGTTGATGTCAAACCAACCAATAGCTGAGACGTATTACTCTGTACCAAGATTGTTGACCCCATGGTGGCACTGAAGGAAAAGTCAGGGGATCATAAAAAGAGATCCATGCCCAGGGAAATCACGAATGTATGTACATAAGGTTGTAAGGTAAATGTTGAGATATTTCACTCTACACTGGTGGCGCAAAAGAAAAAGTCAAGAGGTCATAAAAGTCATTAGCATTCATCCCATGAGCACCATGCGTGCAGTACTTGTTCAAATATTTTACAGGAAAAACAAAAACGTCTTTACACGTCTCGGCGGCCAGAGGGAAAGAAGCAGGATCTCTGATGCAGAGGTGAAACGAATACCATTAATTATTGCATTGTGACATTTAGGTGTGTCAATAAACCAGAAAGACAGCATACTCAAAGTAAGGGGCACGCTACTGGAATGCACCTGGGATTTCCAGGTGCACAAGTCATGCAAACTGAAGTTACTTTTACTTTCAAACTTAGTAACCTTTCACTTAACAGGTGGCTGTTTCTTTAACTCCAGATACTGCTGTGATGTTGCAGTCCACGTTGTACACCTTTCATAGCCGTGGTTATATGTGCACTTACAATGTCCGTGCTCCTGTAGTTCAAGGAGCTGTAGTTATGGAACAATGGCTACATGGTTTTCATAAATCTAGTCCATTCATGGCATATGAAGGACAGAGCATTAAGCTGATGCCAAATCAGATCTGGAATGAGATCATAGCAAGAGAGATAACCGGCTCAAAGCATCCAGCCACATGCTGGGAAACTGGGAACCAAAATATCTTCTACCACCAATGAGGTTATAAATTCTGCTCTGCGCTTCATGCACTGCATCTAATGTCAAAACAAGAGCTGATGGAACGGCTGTTCATCATGTTAATGTTCAGACTTTATTAGGGCAAATTGCATGACGAGGGAGTTCGAGCATGGGTGCTGGTGTGCATTGTAGTTTGTTAAATCTAGTCTTTGCTGCATAGACACGAGCATTGATTTGCCTCCCAAATTCAATGTTTCTTTGTTTGCTCTGACAGGCATTGCCATGGAAACACAAGGGAGTGGAATTACAGTAAAGTTAAGAGGGAGTCTGTGAGAAGGAGCCAGTCCACCAGACTGTGAAGGGCTGCTATAATCCAAGACCAAAGACAGTGCTACATCATCTCTCTGGGGCTGAGACGGCTACAGCCCGCCTTTAAGGTCTTCAGTGTACTTTTAGTCTCTCACATCTTTCAGAAAACCGCTGTTAGTTTTACCTTAACTTGTACATAACTGCTATACACTCATCGGACAAGAGCCTTTCTTTGTATGGGAGTAATCTGATGTCTGTGCCTGTTTCCTCAAAAGTGAAAGCAAGGAATGGATTCTATTCTTGTCTCTTACACAGATGGGGTGTTAAACATTGATAGGGCTGATGCAGGGAGAAAGAGGCAGAGTAGGGGGAGAAGAGAGAAAGAGGCACTACTTTCTTCTCCTTTAGTTTTGATTTGATTACTCTCCAGCATCCAATTTTGTTGAGTAGGAACATCTGTTAAAATGCAGCAACTGCGTTATGGCAGAGATTCAGGATCTGACATGCATCATGGGAAAACATATACAAGTACACAGCGGCCTGTCGGTGTGAGGACAGTGAGAATTTTTTTCAGTTAAAGTGCTGACCTTAATCTTTACTTTGGAGGTGTGTGCACCAACAGCTATATCAGACAAACCATGTAGGGAAGTGTTGCCCTTTTAACAACCCAGCTGCAAGAATAAATGTTGGCATTTGTTTACATTAGTGCATCATTAAGTAGCAGATGTGTTGAACTTTTACATTTCCACAATGTTGCTGTTAATGATGTTAAGGTTAAGGCACAAAAGCTTAAATGGTTATGTCTTTTTCTTAGCTTAAAATACCCAGTTTTGGTTGCACAATTCTGGCACAAAATGCAGCAACGTACGCAGCAAATCAGTAAAAAACAATCGCTTTATGTGGCACTATCCCTGGTGGAAACATGGCAACATGTCGCTAAAAAACAAACTGTTTTTGTGGTACAGGTAATGCAGCAATGTCTTAAAAAAAAACAACCACTTTACATGACACTGTCCCCAGTGGAAACACAGCAAGAGGTTGCAAATAAACAACCTCTTTTTGCAGCAATATCTTGGGGGGAAAAACAGTTGTTTTTCGTGGTGTGAGCCGAGATGGAAGTACTGCACCAGATCGCTAAAAAACAACCATGTTTGGTGGCTAAAAAGCTGCTGGAAATGCAGCAATGACGTGCTAAAAAATAACCGCTTTTGCTATTTGTTGTTCTCAAACAATGATCTGCAATTTGGCAAGCGTCTCACCAAGGTACCACCATCCCCTCCCCCTCCTGATGACAATGTCTGCTCATATATTACATCACTTTACAATGTTTGTATGATACATATGAAACATACAAATGTAACCTGCCTGTGGTTTGCAGACATGTACAATGCCAACGTTGTCCTCTGGTGACTGGGCTGCTTTCAATGCATAATCCCCCAATTTTAAGTGACCAAAAAAATAAATCAGATAATTTCAAATACGTTTAACTGGTTGCAAAGCATTTGCAATCAAGACAGCCTGAAGTCTACAACTCACTAACATTAAGCAACATTAAGATAAGAGATAAGATAGAACTTTACTAATACCAAAGGAAATTCTTTTGCCAGAGGTTGTTAAAAATTACAGCTTAAGAACAGAACAAACAGAAGTAGAGCAATAAAAGTATATTAGCAGGAAAAGTAAACACAAGTGCCGAAAAGAATGGCAATAAAAGTAAGATAAATTGGTGATGCTCTACCAGACCTTGCTTGTTTAGGCTGGTTTTATCTTTAAGGATTTAAAGAAATGCTCAGCTGATTGACTTGGCCAATCAAGAACATTCATCAAGCCCAAAATGCTTTGGCTGTGTATTTAGGATCTTTGATCTGCTGCACTGTCCTACATTGTGTGACAATGTACAAGAAGTGAAAATCCCTTCATTGTTCAACAATTATGGATGTGAGAACCATACAACACCCTTAAATGTCACATTTATTCTCATACTAATTGTATAATTTCAAATTCAGTCAAAACAATTAAGAACATTTCCTAGTGCAGAATTCTTGAAGTGAAACCGTGCATCCAACGTCACATGTACATGAAATGTTTGCATTAGCAGATTTCTGCTTCCAATGTACGAAGGTAACCTCTGTGAGAATAGCGTGACTCTGTCTGCCCAAATGCCTGTCACACTCACTTTTCAGCAGATTTGCAGACCACACAGTCATCCTTGTGTTCTTATAGAACCACAGAGCACTTCCTGGTTGATTCACTGTGGCGCTGCTTACTGAGAAAAGTTTCAAATCTCCCCCACATGTCGTGCTTAGCTGCTCCCTCAGACATGCTATATGCTTTGACTTCTTCTCATCAAAGGCATAGTATCAAGCTGCCTGGTGTTGCTACATAAAAAGGAATCTGTCAGTCTGAGTATGTTGCTTTGTAGGTGCAAAGCCACCAAGTTGATCTCCTGCCTAGCTCGACTGTCCATTGCAGGCAGTAAGAAGGGGCGATTATGCAAAGAAGTTTTAGCTGTAAAAATGAAAAGTGCCTGTTTAATTTTAAAGGTTTAATGAATTTCATTAATTCATAAAGGCAAAATTATTCCCAGCTGCACAGAGGGAAAACATTTAAACTTTTTTTTTTTTTTTTACACAGGGACATTATTAACAGATTCATTTAAACAAGAATTATTGATCTTTGAATAAAAAATATGTACAGTACAGTACAACTTTTGGAATAGTTGCATATAAAATATTGCATACTTTACATTGCACATAAAAATATGAATGCTTTTTTTCCTCTCCTCTCTTCTCTTCTAGTCTAAAAGGTTCAGTTCTCCACACCGGGTTTGGTGTTCAGAGGGTGCTGCTCTGTCCACAGACTTTGGCCCGACTGCTTTCCTCCTGAGACCTTGCTCCGGCATATCAACACCAACAGCAGGAATATGATCAACAATGAGCAGATAACTGCAGCTATGAAAACCCCCATCCACATATTCGACCTGCATTCTGGCTCAGAGACAGTTTTAGCATCCCCTGCAAAGAAGAAGACAAAGAAAAACACATATGCATGTTTTAACAAGAGTTTCAAGACTGGTGTTTATTGAGAGATACTGCTAAACACTTAAACACGTGCTTACCCTCTGCATAGACATTAACCGTCAAATATCCAGACTTCTCCACTGCAGCCTTCCTCCACTCTTGAGACAGAGATGGGAGCCACTCTTCTACTTCACAGAAATACATGCCACTGTCTTCAGGACTTGGTTTCATAAGCGTAAGGATGAACTGGTTGGACGCAGGGTGGCGGAATCTAAACTGTTCACCCTTACTAGACCAGTCTTGTAGGGTGGAGTTACGGTAAGCTGTGAATATAGGGTGTTGTTTAGTTTCTCTCTCTTTCTGCCAAAACCACGTGACCTGGAACTCAGATTGGCTGCTGGATTGTTTGGTGATGTGACAGGGCATGGCAATATTACGGGAAATGCTTATATTCAAGTTCATTTCGTTCTTCTCGATGTGAAGGTTTTTTTCTGCGGACAGAAAAACAAAACAGAAAAAAAAAGACATATTTTATTCAACTTAAGTTTTACAAGACAAACTAATCAATGGGACTTTAAATTGAATTCCTGCGTACACAGACAGACAAGGGAGAAGTCGGGGGAAAGGAGACAAAGGGGAGATTAGGAGGCTTTGCAAAGGGCAGAAACAGTAAACACAACAAAATTAATCTGTAATACTAAAAGAGCAGAGCAAGTAGGGCTTATGTACATAACAAAGGAGAGATAAACAACACCACTAGAGCAAAACATATGACAGCACTATTAGAGAAGTGGGTTTTTTGGCCTAGAAGCAAGACAGTACGTGAGGTTGTGTGGCACAAGCCAGAGAGAACACACACACACACACCATCACATGATATTGGTATTGGTAATTGGATTGCAAGTTTTAAGGGAATAGTGCATTATTTTGGAAAATATGCTTCTTTGCTTTCCTACCAAGAGTTACATGATACCACTCTCAGACATAAGACACACATAACTACATTTACTGAGCTGAGCAGAGCAACTCAATCGCCAGAATACATGTTGGCATTATACGTTTCTAAAAACCACATATTGCATTCGCACGTTATTATGTTCTACTTCAACAGCGCTGTGGTTAATGTGTGGTTAGGTTTATGCACAAAAAGCTTTTGGTTATAATCAGTATGATCTGCATACAGGCATCCTGCCTAGGTGTCACGCCATCCACCACCTCCTCCACCTCCCCATGACCTCCTCATGACAAAGTCAGCTCATATATTATGTCACGCACAAATGTACCGTATTCATGGTTTGCAGAAACGCACAATGCCAACATTTTCTGGCGACTGGGCTGTACACAGCGATCTAAAAGATGTGCTCATACCTGTAACATTTACACTCAGCACAATTGGCCCAGCGCTGTCTGAGGCCTTTTGTTGCCAGTGACCTTCATGATCCAGCTGATATTGCTCCACCTGGCACTGGTAGGTCCCACTGTCATCCACATGGGCCCTCTGAATTCCTAAGTAGAAGCTGCTCTGAGTGGGCCTGGAGAGACGAAGCCGCCCCTGCAGGCCGCTGAGCTCCTGGTTCTCTGGGTAACTCAGCAGGCCCGTGTGGTCAAGCTCCACCAGAGGATTTGAGGCAGGTGAATCATGGCCAGTATAGAACCAAGTGGCTTTGTAGAAGAAAGAAGGACCGGATGCACCTGTGATGATGGTGCACTTGAGCTCCACCTCGTCTCCCTCCATGGAAGTCACCGGCTGCTCTGTCTTGTCTAAAGAAAGGTCATTGGCTGGAGTATAAGAAAGAGAGGGGCAGAGGAAAGAAAACTTAGTATTTCCTTCAATTGTTTTTGTTTAAAGCCACTGAAAATTTGGTTGTAACTCTCAAGTATGCCTATATGTCAGTGCTGAAAACACGCTGAAGACACATTTGATTCAAATGCTGCTTAATTGGTGCAAAGAAATACACCACATTTTTCCAACTGAGTCCCAGCCACTTAAAATCAGTGAGAAAGGAAACTACAGATAGATAAATATGGAAATATCTCATTTGAAATGAGCAAAACTGTTTGAACTTTGGCAGAACACTGTATTCATGTAGGCCTCAATGCTTGTAGATTGAAGCTGCATAAGAAAATATGTTTAAAATTGTATGATGTCATAGACTTTATATAAAGCTGGACGACACCTGTCCACTTCCTCCCTGTGTACAAAAGTGGAGCCAAATATCCCAAATATGGCCACTGCTATCTTACATTGGTGACGTCATTTGAAGCAAGAGTTTGTGCAGTAGTGGTATTGAGGTCCTGCCCATCAATCCTAGCTGTCAATCATGTCACACCGCTTACTAATTTATCAGAAAAATGAATACATGAACAAACGTGATAAGAACTATCTTGAAAGACAAAAACCATCTTTTGCAGAAAATTATCCAACCTATATTTTGGCTTTTTAGTTAGGCCCATGTCCAGTCCACTAATCCATAATGCAGCCAGCCACCAGGGGCTGATCGATATGTTTGGGCTCCACTTTTGGGGAGCCACCAGGTCGTCCATCTTTATATACAGCTTATGGATGATATATATTAAATGCTTAATGGAGAAATGATCAGTGAGCTTTTTAACACAAACTTACCAGGCTCAATAACTGTTAGCTCTGTAGTTCTGGACACTGGTGAGAGCTGATACCAGTCACCATTAGGATCTTGCAGCCACTCCACCACCTCACACACGTATGAGCCATTGTCTGAGATTCGAGCTTGCCGAATATTCAACTCAAAACTCGGGCCCTGAGTGCGCTTCATGCTGATTCGCTGTCTGTGGCTCGGCAGTACTTGGGATCCATATGTCACTAGGGCATCCCGGTCAGAGCTCACAATGGTCTTATTTTCCTCCTGCTGCTGGAGCAGCCAGGTCACAGCATAGCGAGAGTATGCAGAGGGTTCGGAGATAACCGAGCATTTTATTTCTATGTCAGTGTTGATATTTCTTGTCAAGGCGGGGGTGGGAGTCAGGTCGAGCTTGCTCACTAGGAGAGAGAGAAAAAGTGAATTCATATATGGTTAGAAAAATAGAGAAACAGGATGCACAGTGCAGCTTTCACCCTGAATTACAGATGGCTCACAAATCTTAGCAGTACCTGGGTTCTGCACCAAAACAGCCACTGGGTAGGATGGAGGCAGCTTCTTGTGTACATTTTCCAGGAAAACAGACACCCTACACTGGTAGCTTCCTGCCTCCCTGTGGCTCGCACCATTGATGAGCAGATAGTGTATGGCTTCATTCTGATTATTCTCGACTTTCAGCTGGTAGCGGTGCTGATTTGCAGACCAGCTGATGGCTCCATCAGAGTACAGTGTCAGGATGTTATCTACGTTCGAGGCGTCACGCTGCAGGCTCCAAGTCAGTGTTATTGGTATGCGTGGACCTTTGACCCGGCACATCAGCTCCACATTTTCTCCCACAGTCACCATGTTTTTGCGACTTATCAGACGCACGGTCAAAAACGATTCTGTTAACACAAATCCAAAATAGACAGCCGTGGTGAGCAAGTAAGCAGAAGTTCATGGTCATGCAATCATGAGTGTACAAAGTGAATAAGAGATGTGCGTAAATTGCATTTCCACATTTCTGTCTGACTCTTCTCTCATTTTTTTCTCACACATTTCTCAATACTATTTCCTTCTTTAAAACAAGAAGAGGTTAATACGTGCATAATCATCGAAATGTATAAAACAAATTACCATTCATGCATTACATATCCAGAATGCTAACATACTTGTCTTCACATCAAACTTAGAACTTAAAGCATTCAGCATTCTTAACACTCTCGAGAAAATCATTTTTTTTATGTTATTGTATGCAAATATATGCATTGGAGCACACCAGAGTCTATACTTAAGTGTCATTTCAACAAATGCATGTTGACAAAATGTCCAGTCTAAAGGCCTGGAAGTGAACCCTCCTATATCTTAAAATACAGCGCAAAAGTGTTGGACCACATCAAGAACGTCCTGAAGATTTTGTTCCTCCTCAGACAGCTGCTCACGGTCTATTGTGCTAATTAAAATCCAAAATAATTTTTCCTTGTGATGGTGCAAATGTCATGGCAGTGTCTTCAGTGCAAACTTAAAATTTCGACCTGAGGTGGCACAAGAGGGGAGACCAGGTGGTGCCGAAATAAAAAGGCTTATAATGCCTCATTTCCACAGCATGGTTCAGCTCAACTTAACTCAGTTTTGGTGTCATATACTTGCAAATACTACTCCCCCAGTGTAGGTGAGATTCTTAGCTAATTGCTATAGCAACACCACCTGAAACTGCCATGACATCATCTTCAATGCCACACTTGCTGGATCCTATATCAGCAACAATGTCTGTCGATTGTACAGCAAAGTGTTTGAAGTGTATGGCGGAACTTTGTGGGCTGCCGTTTTAGTCAAAAATCTAGGGCGAATGCATAGAAAATTTGTGGTTGCTAAATTGTGGGTTTGTGCAGGATGTCCGTGTCACGTATTGAGTATTCTAGTCGCAGTGTTTTTTGAGTGAGCATTGCTCTGCAGTGTTTTAACGCCACCATCTTGTATCAGCTCAGCTTGCTTGAAGCCTCAACCAAGGTGGTAAGTTAAAGTCAGCAGTTACTAATCACAACATAAAAGAGCAAGCTGAGCTGAGTAGAGCCGCCAGAACTGACATGATGAAAATGACTTTTTTGTTTTTTAGAAAGTAATCAGATCATCTGTGTGACAAGAGAAACCTGTTGTGTCATTATGCAGGTTTTATCATTTGTGTTGAATGATCTGTACTACAAAGACAGAGGGAAACAAAGCGTACCTGTAGGAGCCACTGACACAGTGGCACTCTGCGACTGGCTGCTGGTCTTGCTGTTGGTTTGCACGGTGCACTGGTAGACTCCTGAATCAGAGGGTGTGACCTCATCGAGCTCAAAGGTGAAGGTATCGGTCGCTGGACGTGTTGCCCTCACGCTGCGACTCATGAACTCCTCCGCTTTCTCTGTGACGCCATCCTGACTTAGACTGATGACTTTGGTGAATATGGCTGTTGATGTGGGTGTTGATTTGCGTTGCCAGGTGACGGAGAGTTGACCTTTGACCCCATACACTTTACAGGTGAGGTTCAGTCTGTTGCCTTCGTTAACGCTCGTGGTGTTTTGAATTTCAACAGAGAGCCCACTTTCTATGATGAGACACAGCAAGAGACAGATGAGTGTGTTTAGTAACTTTGTTATAAATAATATTGCTCATTATTTTAAGAAGATGAAACTTAAAATCCAGGGTAATTCATACAGGTAACAAAATTAAACCCTGTGTGTGTGTGTATGTGTGTGTCTCAGTCACTATGGGCTCACTTGCTGACTCACCTGTGGCTAAGATGCTGACCCGCTGGGAGCTGGAGCTCTGGACTGCTCCCTGTGTAAAAGCACCATTCTGCTCTCTGTCCTGAAGACTTGCTCTACAGATATACCCTCCTTGGTCCTCAGTTCTGACAGGCTGCAGTGTAAGACTGTAATCCCTGTCTCCTATCCGGGCTGCCCTCAGCTCCCCTTCCTTCGCCCGCCCACTGTACTCGGGTCCCACGGACAGAATGCCTGTAGGGCCAATGTGGGCCAACTCAACACCCTCCTTGAGCCAGGCTACAGAGAAGAACCTTTCCGCCAGGTTCTGTGTGTCTACATTGCAGATGAGCGACAGCTCCTGTCCTTCCTGTAGAGTTTCAGGCTGCGCAGAAATTCTCACCACCAGAGACGACATGTCTTGCGCCACCTCTACTCAGGGTAAAAAAAAAAGAAGCAAAGTGACACAAACACAGACACAGACATCCTGTCAAAAAGCCACAATGACTGCGTAGAGGAAGAGCAATGACAAATGTATTGACATGTATCAAGATGTGCTATTTAATAGATAAAATCAGTTAGCTGCTTCTAACCTCTTGCTTTGACGTTCAGGGGGGTTTCCTCTGCATCTTTCTGTGCGATATTGTACCAGGAGCGGTCAGGATCTTGGATCCACTCCTGGGCCTGGCAGTAGACCCTGCCGTGGTCTGACAGCTCCAGCTGAGCCATGTGTAGCTTGTATGTGGCCTCTCCCATTTTGTCTAACCTTATGAGTCCAGCTTGGTAACGCCTCTCAAACAACGGGCCTGGGCTCAGTGTGAAATCTCTATCCAGAGAAATGATAGGCTGAGGGTTGTCCTCGCCGTCTTTACGATGAAACCAGGTGAGAGACAGATGGGTGTGCTGGACAGTGTTGCTGGAGGCTTGGCATGTTAAAGTGAAAGCGTCACCCTCATTATAGCTCAGTGTGGTGGGGGCAGGTGATGAAACACTGAGGGAGTTGTCAATCACTATGGAATCACATCAGAAAAAGAGACAAAGACATGAAAGTCGTACATTTTTGCCATCTTACAATACAGCAATGAAAAGTCTTAAAACTCAAAAGTAGATGAGATTAACGGATAACAGATTAACAGATAACAAGGTAACAGATTACCTTTCACTGTTGTCTTAAAGTTGTAGGTCCCATGATAAGTCACCTCTGAGTTGACTACAGTGCAGTCGTATTCCCCCTCATCATTTTTGTTTAGCTTGTCTATCTCAAATAAGACTGAGTTTGGGTTCACATGTGTCAGAGTAATTTCCTTTCTCCTCACACGGCTTGCATACACTGCATAGCCGAAGTTTTCGTCATTGGTGCTGATGATGTTGATCTCAAATGTTGGTTTTGCCGGCTTCTTCATACGGTATTCAAATTCTTTTCTTGTGGTGGCGCTGGCGAAGCCACTCACATTGCAGGAGATGGAGAGCGGATAGCCCACCACGCGATACAGAGGCCCAGCCTGTGCTTCAGTGTGCACAGGACCACTCCCGGCTTCTCCTGTGTTGAGCACAGACAAAAAACAGAAGTCAGCTGAAAACTGCGACTTTAAGTGTCGGCCATTTTTATAAAGGTGCTACAATCCGGGGTCTAACCTATGTTTTAGTATTGCCTTGATATGTAAAGCAAAAAATCCATAGTGGGGTAGGGCAATAAATTGACATTGTACCGATATCGTGATATGAGATAGATATCGTCTTTCCCTGGTTTTAAAACTATTGTGACTGTATTTAATTTTCTCCATATCGCTTGGCCTACTCTGTAGCCTTCAAATTTCTTTGCATATTGCAAGATGCATAAACACCTCACAGTATATAGTAGGGCTGCAAAATGAACCTAAATCTTAATCAAAATCACAATATGACCAAGTGTGATATTCAGATCACAGGAGCTGCAATTTTTTTCATAAAGGTGTCACAACATACTATTAAAAATGATGCACTGTGAGATGCCCCAGCGCTATAAATCATATTGCATGACATGATGCAGCTCGCTTTGAAGACACCAGCAAAAATCACATCATCATCATTCTCATATTTTTGTCAGTGAAAATGAAAAGCAAAAATTAGCACTTCCACTAAAATCGGAGGGAGGGAATTATTGCTTATTTTCCAGCTCTATGAAAATGATTTGCCACTAATTTGTTTGCCTACATCAATTATTTTTTTAAGTCAGAGAGAATAACATAAGTGAATCATCAATTATGAATAATTGGAAATCTTTGCAACTGCAATATGCAATTTTATGAGATTCTAAAAATACGTCACCAGAAACACAGTGAGTATTTTAGCTGTTATTTCTTGTTATTCATTGGTGGTATTTTCAAATTCTTCCACTTCAACTACAAGTTTCTCGGCCCCACTTAATAGCCCCTGACTTTAAAAATCAGTCTTTCTTTCTCTGTTCTATTTTTAACAAGGTTTTAACAAATTAAGTAACTACCATATTTTCACCCAGCATGCTCACTCCCCAGAATACAATCTAACTGCAGGAAATCCAGTGTGCTACTCACCGCCGTGCACAAGTAGTCCCAGACAAAGGAGCAAATTGGCCCTCATACAAGATTGCAGGGAACACTTCATCCTGAACCTGCCTCAGAAGTAACAGCAGTGTTCACACCATAGCAGCTGTGACCAAGTCCTCAGTCAGTCGGTGACAATCTGTGTCTGTTCTCACAGAGACATTGAAGTGGTTAATGCTTCCTGAAGGTAAGAGGAAGTCTGATATAGTTCCTGCATTTACACAAGCAGCTGCAGCATACTGTACTTGTAAATAGCACTGTCATTTATAACGTGTGTGTCACAAATGCACCTGCGCAGATGAAAAAAATATATCTACAGACCCACAAAAGTGTTCGTCCTTAACCTATAGCTATGTGATTATTGATGAGGCACACATTAGAAAAATCACACTGTGCCCATTAGGGCTCATGTTGGATACATCACACTGTTTCACACCATCATCAAATGTAATCCAAAGCGAATTGGACTTAAATTACACCCTAACCAGATAAAAAAAAGGGACCATGAGCGCTTATTTGTCCCTAACATACCTGCAACAGTGTGAAGTGAGGTGAAATAAAGTGATGCTCTGTGCAGACAGGTGATGCGCTCTATCGGTATCCTCAGGCACTGAAGCTCCTCCATGTCGACAAGTTTTATACTGTTTAAACCGAACCACACCAACCATTTCCTTATAGTTTATCTCTGAATAAAACAGGTGTAGCTTCCGGTTTTCCAGCATTCGATTATTAATTTCCATGATTAACAATATATCTCAGTAATCCGATCATGAAGTGGCCTACAGAGAGGGGGAGATAAAGGGCCTGCGGTTGAATCCCGTTGCTAGAAATCAGCTGGGGTCCAAGTTTGACCTATTTTGGCAAAGAATTGAAACAGGAAATAAGTTTGGATTCATTTAAATTATGTTTGAATGGTGTTGTAAAAATATGAGGCAACAGTGCCACCCAGTGGTGAAGATGAAATCATGCAGTTCTGCTGCAGCCGTGTCTGTCTCAATATGTTCCCATCTCAGCATCTAGCCTGACTAATTGAGCTGACTGAGTAAATAAATGCTGGGTAATTTTATTTGTCTATCAATAAGGGGTAAAAAGGAGATCACCACCAGGTTGAACCAAGGCTGAACCACCTATTTAACATAGCTGAAGGACTTTTTTAAGTCATAATAGCACTCTAGTCGAACATTAGTCTGGTTTCAGGAAGCAACATAGCACTATTACTGCAACAATGAAGGTGGTGACACTCTATAATGTTATTGCCATTGTGAATAAATACATAGAGCTGTGTAAATACTGTTGACCATCTTATCCTGATACAGAGATTGGTACCCCATGACACAAACTCACCAACTACTGGCCGATGATCTCACTCCTCTGCCTCTGGGATGCTTAGTACAACACCATCATCGCCAAACTTTATATTGTGTCTTTTCTAATATTCACTTTGACAGCTGTTTGTGTTAACAATATAAAGGAAGGGAGGCAAAACACATCCTTGAGGTGAACTGGTGAATACATGAAGATTGTTTGAATCAAAGGACACCATTATCTCTCACAAACTGTGACCGGTTTGTTAAAAAGTCTAGAATCCATCCAGTGATATTGTTATCAAGATTAAACTCGAAAATAAGATTTTCTGTAAGCAAAATGAAAAGTCTACAATCAGACACCTGACATTAGTTTGTATACTTTCCCTTTGCTTCTCATATTTTAGATATTTTTATTAATATAATTTATATAATTATTGCTATTTTATATATGACATAAAAATCAGTATACAAAATATACATTATATACCCGTACATTGCACTTCATAAGAGAATTGTGCAAATATGTGTGATAATATCCAGCAGTGCAACTCTGGTAGCCATAATTTGTGTGAACTATTCAAGTAGAAAATACAAAATAGCATATATAGGTAGGTATTCATGATAAATACATCTATTGTGACATCTATTGCATGTCTGTCCATCCTGGAAGAGGGATCCCTCCTCAGTTGCTCTTCCTGAGGTTTCTACTGTTTTTTCCCCCCCGGGGTTTTCTTATCCGCTTGAGGGTCCAAGAACAGAGTGATGTTGTATGTTGTAAAGCCCTCTGAGGCAAATTGTGATTTGTGATATTGGGTTTTATAAATAAAATTGATTGATTGATTGATCTATAACAATATATAATAACAATAGCATTAAATAATACCGTGACACATAAAATATAAGATGAAAATACAACAATATAATGATACTAGGGCAGCAAGTGGTGCAGTGGTTAGCATTGTTTTCACACAGCAAGAGGGTTCATAGTATGAAGCAAGGGTGGGGGGGTTCGAACCCGAGGTGGGGTAACCCTTCTGTGTGGAGTTTGCATGTTCTCCCTGTGTTGGTGTGGGTTTTCTCAGGGTACTCCAGCTTCCTCCCACAGTCCAAAGACATGCAGGTTAATTGGTGACTCTAAATTGTCCGTAGGTGAGTGTGAATGGTTATCTGTCTCTGTGTCAGCTCTGTTATAGTCTGGTGACCTGTCCAGAGTGTACCCTGCCTCTCGCCTAATGTCAGCTGGGATAGGCTCCAGCCCCCCATGCAACCCCTTGGTAATGAAAAATAAACGAATGAATAAATGAATAATGCTACTATATTGTAAAGTAACTCATAAAAAGCAATATAGTAACAGATATATTACTACTACCTAAACTACTACCTCCATAGTAGTTGTAAAAATAGTGAAAATGTAATCAATTATATGTTCTACAGAACTTGTGTTTTTTTTCCAACTGTTTTCTAGTCTTTGCATTTAGCTCTTTAGGTCTTAAAAAGACAACCCAAAGATGTGTGAATGGATGAATTACTGCACAGCCCTGTCGGACAAAGGCTCAGGGGCCCAATGTGTCAGGGGGCCCCCTGGCTCTCACCTGCAAAATGTCAGTCAAATTATCACACACTGATCAGGAAGAGGCACAAAGTGACCACTAAGAGGTGCAAAGGAACTGCAAAGAGACACAAAATAACCTCAAAGAGACAAAGTGAACATAAAGAGACACAAAACAACAAAAATATGCTTAAAAACTACCAAGACAACATCAACAAATGGGGGAAACCACAAATCTGTGTGCCTTACTCCTGTGTAAGAGAGACAGAGGGGCCTTTTGCATAGTTGTGGCCAGGGGCCTGTTTTCTTATAATCCAACTATGAACATGTGTAACCGTGCGACGGGGTCACAAGTATTAGACACTGCACCACTTTAAAGGGCCACAAGCCAAAATGGGTGAACCACTGCATCAGGGGTTACTCAGTTGTGGTAACCAATGACAGGCAAAAGCTGCTCTTTCACTTTCCCCACTCAGATTCATCCTGACGGTTTGGGGATCAAACATGCTACCTTCTGGTCACGAGGCAGAGTCTCATGATTATAACATTCAGCACTTGCCTTGAGCCAGAATGACAGAGTCATGTAAGACAAGAAGTGAGTTCATGTCGACAGCAAATTAAAGGACACACATCATTTTAAAAATGTATTCAAGATTTATCACTTTAATGATCAGCATCTTATCCCATGCAGATAAGATGCTGAGTGTTATCCACAATATTATCTACCTGGTGCCATCTGTCCGCAGAGACCTGGTGTCTGTAATTCTTTTGAGAAGAGGAAAATTGGGTAACTTAGGGGGAATTTACTCAGCACAAGAAGAGGAAGTGTCTAGAAACGAGCGTTGCTACATACGCATGTTCCTCACAGAGCAGGAGTAGGAAGTATGAAGAGCACAGGAAAAAACAAATCCACAGCTCAAAGCGACACAACTCTTGCAAGCGTAAACCACAGAGGTCTTTTAAACTGGTGCAGGTGCAGCTCGAATAGCTGCACGCTCTTCTTCTGGGTTTCTGAAGAGCCTCTGCTGTGAAAGATGAGCGAGACGCTGGAGAGGACTACAGACTGCCCCTTGCCACTTCTTAAAGATGATGACTCCGGCCCAGATGAGGAGAGAAACAGCCTGACGGGCTCAAGTGAGTTACGCTGGGAAGATGGGGGTCTACCTGTGGAGCTGCAGAGAGGGATGGAGAACTTACGAATGAACAGAGAGCTGACTGATGTGGTGCTGAGCATTCAGGGACATGACTTCCCTTGCCATAGAGCCATACTCGCTGCGGCCAGTCAGTACTTCAGGTAAAATAGATCCCATGTTGTCTAACTCCATCGTCAAGGCACCACTGGTTTTAATGACTGATGTGTTTTCTGTCTGTGTAGGGCCATGTTTTGCAGTGGTTTGAAGGAGAGTCATGAGGAGCGTGTGGAAATGAAGGGAGTGGACAGTGGGACGATGCAGTCTCTCCTGGAGTATACCTACACCAGCCGAGCCCACCTCACACACTCTAACGTCCAGAGGATACTCGAGGCTGCCAGTCAATTTCAGGTGAAATTACAATAACTTACAATAGAATTTAAAGACGATACTCAGTCAGTTTGATTCTGAGTATCGTCTGATACACAGAAATTTCCCTGTAAATCAGCAGCGATGACTTTTTTAGAATTACAAATTGACTGCTGGTGAAGAGAAAAAGTTCTCGAAATGTGAACTGTAATTATATTAGAAGCTGATTTTTGATTTCATGTGAACGCGTCTTTTACATAAAAGTCACTGACTTCAAAAAACTCATCCTAAACCATAAATTTCACAAGATCCTAAACACATCCTCAAAACATTCAAAACATGAATCCACCAACAATCATTTTTTTAGCTTGACAAATTTTTACTTTTGTTTCGGCTGTAAGGGTTTTATCAGGTGAGATACACTTCCTTTATACGAAATTGTGGCCACATGCATGATCATGTGATTCTTCATTGGAAGTAAAACCATAACTTCCAGACTTTGAGTCTCTAACCAAACAGGAACAGTTTACTGATTTTACAATTTCGTTAATAATTATGGCAATTTAGCTCAGTGTCATCGACTTACTATCAATCAACTGGGACGCATGACGCACTAAAAGCATCCCAGGAGACACTGTGATACAGAACTAGCAGCAAAAAGCACATTTATTTACATCCAGAAAGACAAGTTCTAGTACAGCAATGATATTTATAAGCACTGTGACTGTTGCCGTAGTGTAGTACTACATTTAAAATCTTCAAACGGCTCTGATCTTCTTTCTTTAGACAATTTTCCTCCATTCAGTGGAACAAACATCACACCGAGTAAGAGACGGGTGAAAGAGGGAAGTGAAAGTTGCCCAGTTGTTTACACTAAGGATCAGTTTTCCATACAGGCTTAATTTAACTACACAGCTGTGCCTCACAAGGGAGGAGGCAGGGGTTTGTGTTCCTATACTTCTATTTTTGTGACGAGCTATTTGAGTTTTTTGAAAATGAACAGAAGGGTCAAATATTCAGGTTGGTACTCGTGTCTTTAACAGGTTGTTGGGATTTAGATTGAGGTTAGAGTTACAAATTTAGATTTAGGGTACAATTTGAGGACATGCATGTGATAATAATCATCATTTTATAACGTATACTTTTCTGAATAGAGTTTTAAAGTGCTTATTTGTAAAACAAACAAGAAACAGCAGGGCTGGCCCTAGACTTTTGGGGGCCCTGAGCAGAATTTGGTTTGGGGGCCACCCTCATTGTAACGTATTGCCACTTCACATTTTACTGAACGATTTTGTGTATTGTAATATTAGTAGCACACTTAATTTACAAATAAGCATGTAAAGACTTAAGTGTGACGTATTAGCAGCAACGCTATTTTTGAATAGTAAATACAGTATTTGTCTATTTCTCCCAGACCTTATGAATGATCCTCTTAAAGGGATAGTGCACCCAAAAATTAAAATTCACCCATTATGTACTTACCCTCATGCCAAGGGAGGATCAGGTGAAGTTTTAGAGTCCTCACAACACTTGCGGAGATCCCAGGGGGAGAGTGGGTAGCAACAAAACTCCACCTAATGGAGGCTTACGGCGCCCCAGAAACGTCCAAAAACACATAATTGAAACCACAAAATATCTCCATACTGCTCGTCCGTAGTGATCCAAATGTCCTGAAGCCCCGACACAAAAAGTTGTTTGGAAAAACGTCATTTGAATTCTGTTTTTAGCCTAACTGTAGCCTGTAGTTCTAACTGCCTCTCTGGGCACCGCGTTCACATGTACACCATAAGCCTCCATTAGGTGGAGTCTTGTTGCTACTTCCTCTCCCCTTGGATCTCTGCAAGTGTTGTGAGGACTCTAAAACTTCACCTGATCCTCCATCAGCAGGAGGGTGAGTAGATAATGGCTGAATTTTCATGTTGGGTGCACTATCCCTTTATACCAACATCCCTGCGTAATTTATTTTACTTAAATCATGGGCTACAATGCTAGCAGACTGTCAAAGAAAAGTTTGTGAAGATATTTATCCCAGTCTGTGTTGACTTTTCACTGATTTTTTTAACTTACCATATCTAATACAACCATAAAATGTGTCTCATTTTTTAACCACAGAAACATGGGAATACTTGTTTTGTAGGGACACAAAATAACTTACTTAGCCCACCTAAATTGTCCATTTTACCCGAAATTGAGCTCAACCAGTTATTGTGTAGTCAATATGTTGAAACTTCACGTTTCAGTAATGTTGTGGTTAACACATGGTTACGTTCAAGTACAAAAACCACTTCATTTTGGTGAGGAAAACATCATGTTTTGGCTTAAAATACCTCATCTGGGGGGCTTAATCCAGGCAGGAAAAGCAATGATATTTCAGTGTATCGGGGCACTAACACCCACCAATAGAGCCTAAATGGTCGTAGGAAAAACACAGATGGGTTGCTACAAAAGCAGATGGAAAAGCATGGACAGGTTGCTACAAAACACCCACGACTGTAGCCTAAAATGCTGGTGGAAAAACACTGATGGGTCGCTGAACACCCACTGTTGCACTTTAAATAGCTGATGGAAAAACAGCAATGACCCCTTGTTGTAGTCTGCAGTAGTCTGTGGACCATCTAACTTCCCTTTCACCTCCTCGTGACCAGTTTAGTTGAGCCCTAAGCACACTGTTTATATCTCCTAATGGGCAGGGTCGGCTCTGGTAAACAGTAAAAATGCCAACAATAGTTAGATTGCAAGAAAAAATGTAGGATACGAAATTTAGTAAAAAGTAAAACAATATAATATACATACATTTTGTGCACACTTTTAAAATTGTACTGCAGCTCATCAATCTTATGTAATGTCGCTTCATCTGCTTTTCACTGACGTTATTGAGAAACCTTGTATGTGTACATCAGAGTGCTTGCTGACTTTTCATCTGCAATACTAACGCCTGTATGCTGGCCTGTCTCCTGTAGTTCCTGCGTGTGGTGGATGCATGTGCCAACTTCCTGAGCAAGTCTCTGCACCTCGAGAGCTGTGTCGGGATCCTGAATCTTGCTGAAAGCCATGCCTTGCCCGCCTTGAGGACCGGGGCTCAGGACTACATCGCCGCTCAGTTCTCCCAGATAGTCCAGCAGCAGGACTTCCTGGAGCTGCCGACAGAGTCTCTGGAGGCCGTACTGCAGAGGGACGACCTTGATGTGAAGTGCGAGGAGAGTGTTTTTGAGGCACTCATGTGCTGGGTGAGGGCCCAGCAGGATGAACGAGCGCCTTCACTGGCCAGGTTGCTCTCACACGTGCGACTGCCGTTGTTGGAGCCTGCATACTTTGTGGAAAAAGTGGAGTCAGATGAACTGATTCGCCATTGCAGTGAGGCCTTTCCTTTGCTGCAAGAGGCCCGCATCTATCACCTGTCCGGCAGAGAGGTCAGTATACAGGGAAAACCGAAATTTACTGTCTTACGTTACCACCAGTGGAAAAAGCTGACTACTTTCCTTTAAAGTTTTACACACTTTAATTCTTGTGCAAACAGCCATTTTGTAAGAGTAAAAAAAAGAAGAAGATTTTTTGTGATAAAATTGCTGCTGTATGACAGTGACATTGTGCTTTGTACATCTGTTCAAAGGTGGTCTCTGAACGAACCAAACCCCGTGTGCGGCACTTCCTGTCAGAAGTGTTCCTGATCATCGGAGGCTGCACAAAAGACGAACGCTTCATTTCCACCGTCACGTGTTTGGACCCCCTGAGACGCAGCAGGCTGGAGGTTGCCAGGCTGCCAATCACAGAGATGGAGGATGAATCCCAAAACAGGAAATGGGTGGAGTTTGCATGCATCACCTTCCGCAATGAGGTGTACATATCTGGTGAGAGACGTCACATATTCAGGTTTTTATTTTTAGAAAGGCTTACGGTAATATGTGTAGCAGACCCCCTGCTGTGGAGGTGAAAGTGAGACTGTTCCCCATCTCGTGATTATGTTTCTGTCAAGTTATGGTTTCGATGGTTCCTTTTATCAAGTATTACTTTTCTTGCGTCTTTATCACCTATGATTGAAAGTGAAATTGTTCCCCACCTGGTGATTGTATATCTGCCAAGTTGTGGTTTCTATCGTATCCTTTTATTAAGTTTAACTTTTGCATCTTTATCATGTAAAGAGATTGTTATCAATGCTTCAAGGCTTCTCATACTGAAAAATAATGGTGTTTAATTCCATAAAACCAAAAGTGTACAACTGAGCAAAACAAGCTTGCAGTTACAGTTCTTGTGGGTTTAGGTGTTTCCCAACTTAGGAACTGACACCACAGCTGTGGTTACTTTAACTGTTCAGTCACACGTACGCTAGAGGTTCAGACTTTGTGTCATGGGATTTTACATCTTTAATCAGAATGATTAATGAACAGACATAGTCATTGCTTAAAATTTAGTGACACATTAATGTTTTGGGAACAAAGTCTGTTCATCACATGACATTTTTTTTCTCATGTTCCTTGTTGCAGGAGGTAAAGAGACACAACATGATGTTTGGAAGTACAACGGCGCCCTGGACAAGTGGATCCAGATTGAGCCACTGGCAACTGGGCGCTGGAGACACAAGATGGCAGTCCACGGGGGGAAGGTGTATGCACTGGGTGGATTTGATGGAGCTCAGAGACTGGATAGCGTAGAGGCCTATGATCCCTTTCACAATCGGTGGTCACAGGTAAACATACAAGAGGTCTATATAACAGTAGTGCCATTAATTTTACATCAAATGTTCTTTAAAGCGGCTGGAATTTGTATTTTTATAATAACAGCAACATGTGAAACAGTGCAGTTTGAACATAGTGGAGCCTTTCTCAAAATGGTGGAGACCCAAACAGAGCTAAAAGGAGAATGAATATTGTCATTGCAAAAACACAACTCCATACGAATCCCAATTTTTGGCCATCTGTAACTGTTTGCTGATGTGCTCACAGTATCAAAATTTTAAGTTTACAGCTTGGTTCTGCTGCGCCATCTTAGAAATATCAATTGATGTTAAAAGTTAAAACTTACGATTTGGCCTCCACCCAAAATTTTAGTTGTCCTGAAATTGTTCAATATTGGATTAAAAAAGACACTATATTATAAATTGTGTAAAATATATAAATAAACCAACATTTTGTGACTGTAAAAATTATTATTGTAAAAAAAATATTAAGATTAAATATGATTAAATGTAATTTCATTTTTATGATAGCTGAATTTTATTAGAAATATTTTAATTTCATCATTAACATTTTATTTATGTATTTTCTTATATTCAACTATGACATTTTATCTAGTTTTGCCTATCATCACTTTTCATAATGACACAATTTATTTCATAATGTTCCTTTTCTTGAGCTTTTCAAAACTCACAAATTATTTTCATTAATATATTTTCCACAGTTTATCAATGTGATTATTTCACAATCACTAATTTATGTATTTAATGTTGGTTAATACTTATATATTAAACATTAGTGTTAACACCGTGCATGTGATGCTACATAAAGTAAACTGCTTTTAAACACCCCTCATATATTTACATTAATGCCTGTTTGGCTGCCCTCCATTACAGACACATATTTAGATACCCCTCTGATTGTGCCTCCAGGTGACCCCACTTGCAGTAGGCGTGAGCTCCTTTGCTGCTGCAAGCTTTGACAGATGGATCTATGTGATCGGTGGCGGGCCCAATGGAAAGTTGGCAACTGATAAGGTTCAGTGCTGGGAACCCGGGACAGACTGCTGGGAGCTGCGAGCGCCCATTCCCATCGAAACCAAATGCACTAATGCAGTCACATTCAAGAACTGCATCTATATAGTCGGTAAGTTGGCAGCAGTGGATGGCAACTACATTTACTCAAACACTGTGCTATTTAAGGTATTTGTGGGCTACCTTTACATGGGTATTTTCCTTTAATGCTTTTTATATTTCAACTCTACTACAGTTCAGGGAAACTTGTCGTACTCTCTGTCATACTCCACAATATTTATTTTACACCATGAAATATGCTGCATTGTTATAGATAAAAATACCCAGCAGTTTAAAAAAAAAAGAAAAATATCAAATCAGTAATATAAATAACATTACCTCAGCTGACTAAAACATGAATCCATCATTATCTGATATTTTTCTGTATTATAAGAATTTGTGTTTTTTACATTTTGCCAATAATATATAGAAACTTTTACCTAAAATGGCATTTTCAATCACCTTTCTCTATACTTGAGTATTTCTTATGTTGAGGTATCACTATTTTTCCCGAGGGAAAGGACCTAAATACCCCACCACTGTAAGGGGGTGGATTTAAACTTCTGTATATGTATGAGTGTCTGTGTGCGTCATCAATGACACATATGAAGAGTTTCAGTCCAAAATGAGATGAACAAAATGTGGAAACAGTAGTGTAGACATCAGTAGACCACCACCTACAAGAAAACCAATCCTTGTTGAGATATAAATCTGCATAGCCCCGCACCCTTTCCAGATGGGTGCATCATTGCAAGAGATGAGTCAGTCCAAAGATGGAGTGTAGCCATGGTGAAAACCAGCCACCAAAAGTGAATTATTCCTGGCTGCGGTGCATCCAAAAAAATCAACACACAGCCTTCCAAGAGATAAAGATATGAACAAGTGGATGGATTTTATTTTTGGCAACTTGCCTCAACCTGGTGGCACAGTGGTGCAGTGGTTAGCATTGTCGCCTCACAGCAAAAAGGCTCCTGGTTTGAACCTGGGGTGGGGGAGCCCTTCTGTGCAGAGTTTGCATGTTCACCCCGTGTGTCAGCATTGGTTTTCTGGGGGTACTCCGGCTTCCTCCCACAGTCCAATGACATGCAGGTTAATTGGTGACTCTAAATTGTCCGTAGGTGTGAATGTAAGTGTGAATGGCTGTCTGTCTCTATGTGTCAGCCCTGTGATAGTCTGGCGACCTGTCCAGGGTGTACCCCGCCTCTCACCCAGTGTCAGTTGTGGTAGGCTCCAGGCTCCCCTGCGAGCCCTCTCAGAATAAGCGGTTACAGAGTAGTACTCGTCTTCTGTGCCTTATATTGTGTGAGAAGTACTTGTACATGCCTGACACATATACGGTTCCTCTGTTTACTCCCAGGTGGTGCCATGCATGCCATGTACTGCTACTCACCTCTGTCAGACTCCTGGTCCCTTGTGACCCGTCTGGGGGAGAGGGCCAGCTGCGCCATCGCTGCCTGTAACAACAAACTCTTCATCACAGGGGGACGGGATAACAAGAACCAAGTCATCTCCACAGTGATGTGCTGGGACGTCGGCCGAGGGGTGTTGACAGAGGAGTGTGTTCTACCGATGGGGGTGTCGCACCATGGCAGTGTGACACTCATGAAGTCCTACACACACATACACAGGGTGACACCTGCCTCAGAGTGCCAATGACACAGGCTTCTGCCAACAGGACATTTTTGCCGTTGAGAGAAGCTTTGAAAAGGAAAGTGGAGATACTTCTTTTTTTTCTTGCATGCACTATGTTCATTTGATGTCAATTTATGTCACTTTAAAAGCTAGGAGTCAATCCCTGTGTTTAACCTATAACAGTATAATGCTATACTACAGCAGCAGTTGATCAAACTATATTTTCTGATGAATAATTACATGTACAACAGTAATAACACATAACTTGGTATGACACACTTTCTAATACCAAGAAATACACTGTTTCATGGCTTTATAGTTAACACAAATATTTCAGAAACGTAAAGCAATGACAGAATGGAACCATATTTGGATAAAATAAATAGATGCATATCATTAACTAGAAATATGCAAATTAACACAGTGTGTGACTTTCATACAGGAACTATACAAAAGCCCTATAGCACCTGGTGTTTTTTAATTCACACACACACACACACATACACACACACACACACACACACACACACACACACACAAACACTGCCATCTGGTGGTCAATATAACTTCTTGTTTTGCCTCCAGTTTCATTGTACTCAAACTAATTAAGTCTTAAATAAATGCAGAAACTTAACTAAAGCAAATATTGTTTTCATTTCACTTCATTTATTTGACTCTCATATCACATAGTATGGAGTACAAACATTACATACAATAACAAAACAGTGGCACACAGCATGTCTTAAGTACAACAGCTTCCATTCTGACATTGAAACAAAATATGATACTCATCTCCCACGCGATTATCATCACAGAGGTTCCACATCTCCTGGTTTCTGTCCAGCTTTTATATCTTCCAGTGACTTTAGGAGTTCTGGTGTTATTTGCTCTTCACCAGTTTACACTCTTGTTTAACTTCGACACATAACTCACACAATGTCACACCACTGAGCTCACTTTGCTATGTTTGCATGAACTGATTTTTTAGACTCTGTTCAACAGTTTAACCTGTAGATGTTGTTACACTTTTGAGCCAGAGGTACAACAAGTCACATTAATACAGTATCTGCTTAACCTGCAGGACCCATGGTGACACATACAGTATACACCCTTATTATGCAGCCTGAGCAAATAGTTGTACATTTTTCGACTGAATCTAGTTTCTTTAACCTCTATCAGCCTCCCCCAGTCGCCAATAATTCTCCTTTTAACTGCTATACAGAGTGGATATCTTCATTTTTTATTAGACAAGGATCTACAAAAACCAGGGTAAAAGCAAAGCAAACAAAAAGAGACACAAAAGAGCAAGGCAAGACACATTAGAGAAGCAAGGATTGAGAAACAGACGTGTAAAGTTTAATAGCTTTATGGTTCCTTTTTGCCATAATTTTCAGCGACCTAAAGTAATTGGCGAAATTACACAGGAACACTGTGAATGACGGAGAGCTTCTGTTTCATTAACAAATATAAATATGATTTTAACCCATAATAATTACAAAGATTAAGACTGACAGTATCAGAAATGTTTGAAATGTTGTCCATAAAATAAATAATATCACTGTAGGTAAATGGAGGTATGTTGTCCATTTTCAAAGATAACCAATTATGGATTTCAGACCAGAACAAAGTGACTTGAACATTTAAAAAATAGATAGTTTCTGCCTCTGAAGAGCAAAGCGACACCTGGACCAACAGCAAATTTAAATCTATTGTGCAGAAGGTCACTGGCAGAGTATATTTCTGATACTATTTTCAAAATGTGTTTCTTTTACTTTAGGAGCAACAGGACAAGATATATAAAAAGAGAAGGCCTGTCTCTTTAAGGGGGGCTCTATGTCATTCTAGACATAGCATGACTTGAGGTCACCAAAATGTACTTGTTTAAAAACTAGGCTTATTGATTTGTTGTCACTTTTTTTATTTTTTTGTGGGGAGAAAGTGTGTAGTGGATATCGTCCTAACTCCCCATAGACCGTATTATTGCAGGTTGTCATTTTAACTGTAAGAGTATAGTTTAGATGTCCTGCACATCACTGCAAAGGTGTTAAAAATACAATCTTTTGTGTCAAACTAATCACTGAAATTATGTGTTTCGTAGATTAAAGTTACAGAACTACTGAATCAAACTTATTTAAATGTATTCCTTGAACAACTGACACCTTCACACACATAACTGACATTCCCGTACAACAGGATGAAGAAAAAAAAATCTGGCACCCAGCCTAAATTCACTAACCGTCAAAACAGCCGAGCTTCCGGTATATTTTCAAAATAAAACACACTGGCATGAAGATGATAACGGTAACAAAAGTCATTAAAATTATGAAATCAAGCAAAGCTTATCTGGAAAAATGTGTTAAATTAAAACAGATTGTTTTTTCTTGTCATATTAACAATGAAGTTTGGGAAGAGTGTGCCACATCCAGTCCACATTTTAAGCAATTACACCTTCCAGGATGTTTTTAATGTAATCTTGTAAAATGTAGCTTTGGTGGGAAACTTGAGTAAATACAGCTGTTTGAAGGAGGAAATTGTTAATGTTTTCACAGCACAAAGCAGCATAAAGTAGATATTACAGAGGGAACTATGATGTATCATGTATAATAAAAAGGCCTTTTGCTTATTTTTAAAGATGTATTTCATGTGACAGAAGGTTATGTTAAAGGTTGTTTCATAGATAGCCTGTGTATTATTGACCCTGCTCATTCAAAGTTGGTGTAATGAAGGACTGAATGACTTTATAACTGTTCTTTTTTTAAATAGTGTAGATATCTAGCATACAAGAAGAAAAAAATAACAACACAAAAAACAAACAAACAAAAGAAACACCAATATAAAAACAGCTATTGTTAAATTGTTTTAAACACTAATATCAGTATCGTCCCAGAAATTAAACATCGGTGCATCCCCAGTTCAATTAGAAAGTTATTTTGCACATTTTATAATCATTTTATAGTGTTGTGTATTATTTTATTGATTATTTTTCTGAACAAGTTCATTTGTAATTATTTTTTTTATTGATTATTGATTTATAGGACTATAATAACACATTTACAATATGTACTGAAAGACAGCACATATTATTTTCTTATTGTCCTATTTTTATCATTTTACAGATAAGCAGATTTGGCTGTCTGTCCGTGATGCACTAATGTGAGATAGTTATAAATATTTAAATGATTATGGACATATTTGATTTATACATCTAAGTTTCCAAGCCCAGGGCCACTGCCATGTTGATGTGTTTAATCAGGTTTTATTTTGAAGAAGGAAAACAGAAAACACCGGAAACCCTCAGGTGTCTCACCTGCCAGTTAGCTATCTTTAGTCCAAATACTTTCGTTTGCGAAGCTGTCTGGGAGCCGTGGCCAGTCCGTACCCTACCATCACACCCACTGGATTACGCCTATTTTACGCCTGTTCCGACTTGTTCGAAGAAAGATAGGCTAATATTTACTTTCGACTCAGGCTACTGTAAGAAGACAGTTACCCTATTTATTCCAACAACACCTGCGACCAAGTGAAAGTAAATGTAAGACGGCGGCTGAGTACGTGATTTTCATCGGCTTTTCTGAAATGGCTGTTCGGTATTTCCTGGTCTATCTCACCCTTACCTGGTGCCTAGGTGAGTTTGTGTGCTTGGATTGTGTTTGCGGTTTTTTAAATGTGCACTTTCATGTCGCCATATTAACCACTGTATGCATCTTGTAGGCCTGACAGGACAAGTCAGGTAAAAGTTAATGATTCACCTAATGTGGGGTTCAAGAGTTCATGATATCTCAGAGCAGTATACTCTACTAACTATGTGTCTGTGGTATAAACTAGGTTTGACCCAATGTTTTTAACTGCTTTAGTAAAAAAGAACAACTGCCCAATTAATGCTGTATAATTTATAGTGTATTTTTTTATGCAGCTGTATGCCTATCCTTGGGATACCAAGACATAAGACACCAGCGATAACATTATAACTATGTATGACGAGTCTGTGTATGCACATACATTACTGGTAGTTACACCTGTACAAACAAAACAACATCCTTGAAATGCCTATCCCACGATGACAGGCTGAAGTTTTTGTTTACAGTGTCAGAGAGGTGCGGTGCTATTTCAATGATATTGCAAAGTTTGACCCAATAGTATTGATATATGGTATTTTCACAGATTTGCTGGAGCTTTCAACCGTGTTTTATAGTCTTCATCAGTAGATGAAGTTTGCTCAGCTGACAAATGGCTCAGTTTTCATCATGTTATAATAGTTATCTGATAAAGTAGTGTTAGTACAAGGCAGGGTTTTAAATGCAGCTGCAGAGCTGGACATTAAAATACTTTGCAGCCCACTACTTTCTGACTGTTTATTTGTATTTTTTTACTCATTTTCGAGGGGCATTTTTGCCAATTAGATCCATAGTGAAGAGGCAGACATGTGGCGAGAGAAGTTCCATACTTGGGTCAAGTATGTCTCCATGACAACTGAGCAAGAAAAACCAACTATGAAATGCTGTGAAAGCTCCACAAAAAAGTAGACCTTGAGTTAAGATTGTCAAACTGTTTATTTGCAAGGTCAGGGTACTGTCTTATAGAAAAGCTTTCTAAAATTTTGCCAGCTTCCATTAACAAACATTAGGGGTACAAAAATAAATAAAAACAGCTCTCTGTAATGCTGTCCAGGACACCAACAAAATGAACTAGTCTCAAAAATGATAGATTGGAATCAGCACCTCTCCGGCACAGTGTTAGCAAAAACAATCACTTTAACATTCACGCAAATAGGATTTATTGCTGGATTATGGGGACAAGCTACTCCAGACGTCCCTCTCCCTATAGCAATGCTTTCTAGCTCCTCTTGTAGGAACCCAAGGTATTCCCAAACCAGATGAGAGATACAATCTCTCCAGCGTGTTCTGGGTCTGCCCCGGGAACTCTTATCACTTGCCTGGAAAACCTCTAACAGGAGGCACCCAGGAGGCGTCTTTATCAGATGCCCAAACCCCCTCAAAAGACCCTGAAGGAGCAGCAGTTTTACATCAAGCTCCCTCCAAAAGTCTGAGCTCCTCGCCCTATCTCTAAGGCTGAGCCCAGCCACCCCACTGAGGAAGCTTATTTCAGCCGCTTGTATCCGCAATCTCATTCTTTCGGTCACTGCCCAAAGCTAATGGCCACAGGTGAGGGCAGGAACTTAACTGGTTATTCAAGAGCTTTGCCTTCTGGCTCAGTTCCCTCTTCACTAAAACGGTCCAGCGCAATGCTGGCGTCGCTGCTGACGCCCATCTCATGCTCCATTTTACGTGTGTGGAGCAGATTTATTTATTTGATTTATATTAGATCGTACAGGTGTGTCTAATAGATCTGCAACTCGATGTACTGTATAGTGTTGAGATCTTGAGTTGTCATTATACACAATACAAACACTTTCAGACATTATGCGGTATGTTTCTATAAGTCTCTATTCTCTGTGCCTAGTTGCTGGACAGTCTCCAAAATATGCACTCAAGGGGAACACAATCCACTTGGAGCCGGGCGTTAATGGACAACCTGATGGGATTCTATGGAAACACAATGGCAACAAAGTTGTAGAGTTTAACGGCAACGAGGAACACGTGTACAACCCATATAAAGACAGGATCACTCTTGACTGGGTCAGTGCAGAACTCAATATCACTAACCTCAGATTTGAAGACAGCGGAGAGTATGAACTGGAAGTAGACATCAACAAAGGGCTGCATCGTTCAGTTCATAAATTGAAGGTCATAGGTAAGTTGTTTCCCTCTTTAACAAAGTGGTTAATTGATCACATTGGTACGTGCATTCTATAGCTGGAAGTTGAGATGTTGCCAAAGTTCTTTAAAGTAAAATCAAACATGCAAAAGAAAATGGACATCTGCAATAAAGAAAATACAGTTGCTTAATACCACTGCCACTACCAGCAATAAATATGAGATCCTTCCATGTTTTATTGTTTTACAACTTTGCATTACAATGTGTTTTAAATGTGTCTTTGAAGCTGATCATCAGAAAACTCTTTATTGTGAGAGTTCCGAGACTGTAATGGGAGATAGTGTGCATAAAACAACTGTTGCTCAGTCACAACGTTATAGGAAAGTGGCAAAGAGGATGCTGCAGTAAACTTGCAATGCTGTGATAGTGTTTCCTAGCAGACATTGAAACAAGTGAAGAAAAGTTCAGTATTCATATAAGACAAAAACTGAGCTGAGCACCGCAGCTGAAACACCCAACGTGAAGCACAGTGGTGGTCATGGAAGGCTTGTGAAGGCAGAGGGAAAATGAATGCAGCAAACTAAAGAGAAATCTTGAAGCTGACAAGAGAACAGCAGCTCGTCAGAAGATTTATTGCCAGGAATTCAGTTCAGAATATGTAGCGTCAAGCAACTAAGTGTGTGGGAAAATTGTAGAGGTCAGATGTGCAAGCCTGACACAGACAGTTCCACACACAGTCAAGGCTGGTATGCTGCTAAAGAGGCTTTTGAGGGGTAGTCAATACATGTAATATTATCAGTAACATTTAGATCACTTTGTAGGGATTTGTTTTCACATTCAAGTGTCATTTCTGTTGATCAGTTTCAGAAAAACTTTACTCACTAGTATAAAACAATAAAACCTGAAAGAGGTGTGGTAGTGGGGAATATTTTTATAGGCACTGTACCTTTGGTACAGTTGCTGATTTCATCATGGTTGAGGATTTATTGAGGCTTTTTTGTTTTTGAATTAATCTGTAAAGTTTTAATTTTCAAATTAATTTGTATTAAAACAGGCAAACTGTTCATATTTGTAGTTTTGTTAACCTATGGAACTCAGTGTAGAAGCCCCACAGAGCATTCCCACATTAGCCTCCAGTTAATTGAGACATTGAGTCAGGACTGCTAGCCCACGCCCAACAGTATAAACATCCAGATATCAAAACCAATTTTATCTCTTAATATATCACCTATAAAAATGGATTTTATAGGTGGCTATTTGCTTTGGTTTTTATGACAGCCTCAGTTGAGAGACTTTGCTCTCCAGAAAGTATTGGTTTGTCCACAGAACTGAAAGCAATATACATTTACTATCAGTGCCAAAGACAAAGAAAGGGGAAATTACTGTGAATTATATTATCTCTATTATATCTTTGATATGCCTTTCATGTATAACTATATCAAATTTTTTATTAAGATTTTCTGATAAGAGCTTTATGTCCTTTATATTCTATACTATGTTTAAAATGTTGTTATGCATGACGTAGCGTAATAGAATTATTCAGTTAAGTTGGTATTCATTTATTTATCCATTTATCTATTCGTTAAGATGAAGTCGCCAAGCCCACCATATCCTGTGAAATGATCGACGGCAGCAGCTCTAACAAATCTGGAAAGCTAGTGTGCACCTCGGAGCCCAGACGACCTGAGTCTTTGATGAAGTTTGAGTGGAGCTCAAATGGAAAAGTGCAGCGTGGCCCAAATTTACTGATATCTCTGGGGGAAAAACATGATGATGAGGTGTACAGTTGTCATGTGAGCAACCCTCTGAGTAGGGAAACTGCTACATTCACTGCAAAGGATTGCCACCCAGGTAAGATTTCACTTAGGGTTCGGCTGCATATATATTTATTGTTCATTTTGTGGAAATTGTCATTTCAAGCAAATGTACTTTTAGAAGCTAATTTAGGCAGGATATTCATATAATAACCCACCATAAGTCATTAAAGGGTAACTGCTATTTTCCAACATGGACCCTATTTTCCCATGTGTTTGTGTCTAAGTGAGTAATGGGAACAACGGAAATTTTTGAAATTGGTCGTGTACTGAGAGAGAGCAGCTGCA